TTTTTGGTTTTTCGAGACAGGGTTTCTCTATGTAGCTTTGTGCCTTTCCTGGGACTCACTTGGTAGCCCAGGCTGGCCTTGAACTCACGGAGATCCTCCTGCCTCTGCCTCCCGAGTGCTGGGATTAAAGGCATGCGCCACCACCGCCCGGCGCTTGGCAGCTTTCTTAAAGCAAAAAATAAATAATAATGATAATAATAATAATAACAATCACCATCAAAGAATGGAAAAGAGTAAGAAGTTTGGAAAGGAAAAGAAAAATACTGCAGTACGACGTGAGCTGGAGAGATGGCTCAGAGGTTAAGAGCACTGGCTGCTCTTCCAGAGGTCCTGAGTTCAATTCCCAGCAACCACAATGTGGCTCACAACCATCTGCAATGAAATCTGGTGCCCTCTTCTGGTGTGCAGACATGCAGGCAGGCAGAACACTGTATACATGATAAATAAATAATAAGTAAATAAATAATACTACAGTGCTCAAGGGTCGGGGTGCAGGTGGCCCATACACTAGGATTTCCCTCTGGATTTCCCTCTGGATTTCCCTCTGTTCACAGAATTTCCCTCTAGATTTCCCTCTGTTCACAGAAAGTGATGGGGGTGAGCAAGGGCAGAGGCGGTCCCTGAGGATAGAGGAGGGTCCCTGGTGCCCACTTACTGCATGTCGAGCAACACAAGGCACAGGCTTGCTCGTCTCCTCCCCCGTCTCGTGTTCCCAGACTGTGGTGCTCTTCACTAGCCTTCCTGATAGCCCGACAATGAGAATGGGTCTGATAAGAGAGTCTCATCCTTGACCTGGTTCTCTCACTGAGTTGGGCTTCCGTGTTCTTCCGCGTAAGACTCATGTTGGTGGCGTCGCCTGCCGTGGGACACCTGGTGCCGGCCTTGTCGTGTCTCGGTGCCTCGGCTGTTTTTGCCTAAGGTAAGAGGGATGTCAGAATGCTGCTCTGAAGGGCATCCTAGTTTAAACTCAGGAGACAATGTGTTTTGTAGAGGTGGACGAAGGAGTTCTGCATCAGGCCGGGGAATCTCTCTCTTCCACCCCTTCGGAGGAGGCAGCTAGGCTGCAACTGGGAGTTCTAGAAAACTTTACTTTACTTTCTCCTGTCTGCACATGGGTGCAAGCAGCTGTTCCTTGCTTTTACTATTATTGTGTCTATTCTCACAATCCACTCTTAGCCTCGTCGTGAGAAGAGGTTTCAATGTTGAGTGGTTCCTTTGTTCTTGGCTGTAGAAATGAGTGTAGGGCTCCAGTTATAGTAACACACGCCACACTCGTAACCTTAGAGCATAGAGAAGAGAGAGTAAGACTTCTGTATATTTGAGGCTGTCCTGGTCTGCATAACAAATATCAGGCCTGCCAGGGCTATCTCAAGGAGAGGGGAGATGGGGGGAAACAGGTCAAGAGACTAAAATAGGTGTGTTTATTAGGGGGTAAGAGTAGATTTAGGAGCCATGGCGTGGCGGGGTGAGGGGTTACTGTTGGTGAGTCATTTCTGCAGAAACCAATGGTTTCTTATGAGGTGTCATCCATAAGACAGTGGCTAGAATTGGAGACTGTCCAGGAACTCTGCGGTTTCCATCAAGACAATGCCTCCAGATAACATCCCAGGTCAAGGAACAGGAGAGCCTGAAGCTTGGCAAGTCCCCTCTGCTCCCATTAACCCTCAAATGGGCCTAGCCATACTTCCAGAAATATTCTGATTATAGCCACCAGGCACCCCTGATGTTCAGGGTAAAATCAGATCCAGCTCAGGGTGGAGTTCGGAGACAGAGAGCCTGACAGGCACTCGGCGGCTTTGGGGTGAGTGGGGACCCCCTGGCAGTCAGTCCTTACTCAGAGCATCCTGGACAGAAGGTGGCTGATGGAATGATAGTTGTTACATTAAGTTGTTTGTGTATTTTCTAAGACCTGCAAATGGCTTGATTTAATTTCTCCACCATTGTGACTTTACTATTTATTTCTTTGGCTATAATAAAAAGGAACTTGAGAAGGCCGGGCGGTGGTGGTACATGCCTTTAATCCTAGCACTCAGGAGGCAGAGCCATGCAGATCTCTGTGAGTTCGAGGCCAGCCTGGGCTACCAAGTGAGTCCCAGGAAAAGGCTCCAAGCTACACAGAGAAACCCTGTCTTGAAAAACCAAAAAAAAAAAAAAAAAAAAAAAAAAAGGAACTTGAGAAAAGAAACAAAGGAGATAAAGATGCCTGGGAGGGGTGTTGTGTCTGTGCAGGGAGCAGAGGGGGGTCCTGCCGCCTGCTGAGGGCCACGCTGCTTCCTTCCTTCCCGTCTTTCTATCCCACGGCACTGCTCCACAGAGAGGACTCTTCCTTCATCTACCAAGTCTGTCGATCCCGACAGGGGAAATGTAGTATTCTCCTGTTAGACAGGAAATGAGGTCACAGGAGCGTGGCCGACCACTCTTGGTCACTGTCACCCAACAACAGAGGCCAAAGATGCAGTTTTGCAGAGATTGTTGGGTAAAGAATAAAAATAACGAAGTTGGCTCCCAGAGAAGGAACACGAGGTTCTTGATGACCCTGGGCACAGGCTTGTCAGCGGCCTGCCTAGCATCCGGACACGTACGTGTGCTGGTTTTGATTCTTAGTCATTTGTGTAATGATCTAGTGTCCGCCAACTGCTTTGATACATGAAATAATTAGATGTCTCAAATGCAGAGAGCTGCAACGTGCTGACAGCTTTGAACACGGGCACACGCCATAAACACCAGGCAGATGTTCACCCTGCCCGCCTTCGGGGCTTGCTGGCTGGTGGCAGCCCCATCTGAGTGACAGAATTAGTTTCCAGATTAGAATTCAGGACCCGTGCTGCTCTGCCTCTCCCCTAACAGGTCTTTAGTCTTCTACCCAACATCCACCTGACCCTGTGTGAGAGACACACTGTTTTTTCTTTTCCTTGTATCATTCCTGCCCTCAGCCTTGAAGTACAGGAATCAGTATCACAACTGTGTTTTGCTTCTCACGAAGCTGGCTGTGTGAAGTGACATCTGAAAATGGCTTAAGTGTAAGGAATAAATGTCTGTGTTTTAGTGTGGTTTTTTGAGACCAAAGATCCTACCACAGAACTGGCTGTTCCCGCAAAGCCCCTGGCCAGGGCAACCCCAAGTAAGGAGCCTTTTGTCCGATTCCACAGTGACTATATGTTAGCGCTTTGGGGGGAGCGGGGGGGGGGGGGGGGGGGGGGGGGGGGCACGGGGCAGGCGCTGGCACTTGAGAGATAGTGGGGAACTAAGGGAGGTTCTGGGAAGGAGGTAAGGCAGGGAGCTTCGCGGCAGGGGACCTGCAATCAGCAGGAACACGGAAACAATGTGGCGCTTGTGTGTTTTGTTTAATGTATCTAATCATAAGACGGTCTTAGTGCCGTCCTTCAGCAGCGACTGCTCAGAGGTGACTGCTCAGAGGTGTATCTAGAGTCGTGGAAATCCTGAGCAAGTTAGCAGGTTTCAATTTCCTTTGGGCTAGGCATTGATTAAACCAAGCATTAACTTCAAGAAAAATGACTGACCCCAAATTTATCATAATACCTCTACCCCACTTCCCAACTCCCAACAGACAACATTCAGATTTTGAAAGAAATGCCTGGAGAAATATACACCCCCAGAGAGAGAGAGTGGGGGAGAGAGAGAGAGAGAGAGAGAGAGAGAGAGAGAGAGAGAGAGAGAGAGAGAGAGAGAGAGCCTCAAATAGGCCCAAAGTTCTCCACTAAGTTTTAACATCGCAGGAAAATTTTTTTTTCATACTTTCTATAATTTCCAAAGAAGTCTGTACCACAGGCATAGTAATTTTGTATATATTTTTGAATTAGCTAAGGCTGAGCTACCCTAAATTTTGAAGAGAACAGGACACCCCTGGAGTGATAGTGTAGTCCGCATTTCCCTTTCTGGTTGTGTCTGGATTTGGTAGCAGTTGAGTCACCCTGGCAGCTCAGGTAATGTCGCCATTTGGAGGTGGCCTCTGCTCAGACACCAGAGGAAGCGTTTGATCTGTTAAGAGGACAAATGTCCACCATGCATTACAGATGCGATGGTCCCCCCACCTCAGCCACCCCAGGGAAGGGTATGCTGGGACCCATAATTTACCTTGGAATGAATTTCTGCACCACAAGTACAGCCCTGGTGACCCTGGACAGGGTCAAAGGTGGGGTGCAGTGATGGTCTCCAGATGGAAGGAGACTGGCTTTCTGGGAGTGCCTGGTGTTTCCCTTCCTTCATGACAACTACTAAGAGCTTCCAGGGCTCCGAGTCCTGCGCCC